TCCAAGCCCTGGGCTCAGTGTCTGCATCTTTCCTTGTGAGTTTCTCTCTTACTTCTGCCCTGTTCCCAGACCTATCTGATAGAATTTCCAGACAGAGTGTTGGGGACCCTGATGCCTGATCCCAGTTCCATGTTTTAGTCACAGACAGGATCAGCATGGGCACCTAGCTCCCAGAACGGCAATTCTCTGTTGTGCCTCCCTCCTTGTGTAAGCCCCAGGAAAGCTCAGAGCCAAGTCTGCAATAAACTGGCATGTATGTTGGCCCTGACAACATGTATTTTTGTGAATGTAGAATAGAATAATGCTCAGTCCTTACCATGTGCTGTGATTTGTGGGCACAACCTGACTCTAGTTATTCTTATTTTTCTACTCTTAGTTTTCCTAGTGTCCATTGCTTCATACATAATGCCTCTTGTTTTGCTTTATGCTGTTGCATTCTTTTATATTTTATTTTTTTTTAAGATTTTTATTAGGGAATTGGGGAGGGAAACAGTGTTGAGGAATTGGGGAAAGGGAACTGTGGTCTCCAGGACCCATCTGCTCCAGGTCAAGTTGTTCTTCAATCTTAGTTGTGGAGGTTGGAAGCTCAGCTCTAAGTCGAATCGCCACTTTCAATCTAGTTGCACGGGTGGGGGTGGGGGATAGTCCACCGTCCTGCGTGGGAGTTGAACCAGCAACCTTGTTGCACACTGAGCCATCTGGCCACCCGTGGGCAGCTCGCGGTTGCTGTGCTCAAGGTGCTGTGTTCAATCTTAGTTGGGGGGGCGGGGAGCACAGCCCACCATCCCATACGGGTGTCGAACTGGCAACCTGGCTGCTAAGAGCACGAGTGCTCACCAGCTCAGCTGCAGCTCAGCTTGGGCACAGCTTACTGGCCCATGTGGAAATTGAACTGGAAACTCTGTTGCTCAGAGCTCCTGCTCTTAACTAACTGAGCCACTCGGCCGGCCCCTATGCTGTTGCATTTTGAATATGCATTACATTCTATTGGGACAAGGCAAGAGCATAAGCAAATAAAAACAAAGAAAGGCCAAGATGACTCTTCCAGAAATCTCCCTTGCTCTCAGCCCCTAGTACGGTCCCTCCTGATGTTCTGCAATCCTTTTCCAGTGTCTTCTGCTTATAGCTTCTATTTGCATGCCTATTTTCTTTAAAAGGCCAGAACAAATCCTTCCTTCACTCCTGTCCCGAGCAGTTCACATATTCAGGGCTCTGCTCACAGGCCTGTCCCTTAGCCTGTCTGCCTATTAAACTATTAGAAGTCAGAAACACCCAGGTCAGAAACGGGATTAGTGTCTCCAATCTGCACACATCTGGGTTTGCTGCACAAATTGTAAGGACTTCAGGGACTTATGAAAATAGGCCTGGGCTGACCGTGTCTGTCTCCATCCTCTACCTGCTCTGATTTCAGATCCTGAGCGTGAATGTGAAGGCTCCAGCTCTGCTGCTGAGCCAGCTGCTGCCCCACATGGAGAAGAGAGGGTAGGCTACAGGGCAGAGTGGGGACTGGTGGGAGTTGGGGAGACTGAGGCAGGATTTGAGGCTGGAGT